TAGAGGTGCGGCTTTGGGGAGGCAAACAGGTTTAGATGAGGTCATGGAGATTTAAAACTCAACACTCAAAAAACTAAGATCATGGCATCCAGTCCCATCACTTCAGGGCAAATAGATAGGGAAAAAATGGAAACAGTGGCAGATTCTATTTTCTTGGGCTCCCAAATCACTACAGACGGTGACTGAAGCCATGAAATTAAAAGACATTTGCTCTTTGTAAGAAGAGTTATGACAAACCTAAACAGCATTTTAAAAACCAGAGACATCACTTTGCTGACAAAAGTCTGTCTAGTCAAAGCTATGATTTTTCCAGTAGTCACCTATGGATGTGAGAGTTGGACCATAAAGATGGCTGAATAAGTGTTGAAGAACTGATGCTTTCAAATTGTGGTGTTAGAGAAGACTCTTGAGAGTCCCTTGGTCAGCAAGGAGATCAAATCAGTTAATCCTAAAGGAAATCAACCCTGAATATTCATTGGAAGGACTGAAGCTGAAGCTAAAGCTCCAATACCTTGGCCACCTGATTCGAACAGCTGACTCATTGGGAAAGACTCTGATGCCGAGAAAGATTGAGGGCAGGAGGAGAAGGGGACGACAGAGGATGAGATGGTTGGATGGCATCACCAACTTGGTGAACATGAGTTTGAGCAAACTCTGGGAGATGGTGAAGGACAGAGAAGCCTGGCTATATGTGAAATATACATATATTTCATGTTTTAAGTAAAAATATTTTTTGATTAATCAATAGTCAACATAGATGACCAGTGATTAAAGTTCCACACCATTTTACCATTTCAAAAGCATGATTCACACTCAATGTGAATTGAGTGTGATTCAATTCATTAGAAGTCTGTGACTTCTAATTTCAGTTTCTTTAAAGTTGATGCAATGCAAGACCCCTTGGGGAAGAATATGGAAGGAAGAGTTGATCTCTCAAAAATTTCCTGATAATTTAAATTCCTCTAATTCACACCTAAAACAACAGCAAAGCTTTAATAATTTTTCAAATTCTTATTGAAATATTTAACTTTGTTTTCATGGGCACAGCAACAATTTTCACAGTTATATTTCACTATATCATATAATGTTTAATTAAGATATATTGTTATAATAACAAACTTAACCAGCATCTGCCCACTGACTCTTAGATCTAGAAGGAGCTGATGTGAGTGAGATACTAAAAAGGAGCCTACAGCCTACATTGGGTGGGGCATCAGTCAGTATCTTTTAAAGAAAGAGTTGAAATCACTCGTTAATTTAGTGAATCAGCTTTGGACATGTCAATTAAAAGAGTTTCTACTGCTTTGAGAGTTTATAAAGCTATTCCAGGGCATCCAAGGCTTTCCAGAGCTTTTCACTCATTATAGAGGTGGGATGAACCTCTCAAAGAGTATACTCCCTACTTTGCTGCTGGGAAACAGAGACTCAGAATTCTGCTATCATATGCTCAGCGTTACAGAATTATGGTACTTCCCACCTCACCCCTCTGTTCTTTCTGAGTGCTGAGTCCTTCCTCTGTGCAATTCGTTTCTGTGATCATATCCTTGCCACTTCCCCCAGCATCTTCATCATCATCTGCAGGGAGTTCGTTGTGTTCAGGACCCTCCAAGATAGGCTGTAGTGATTTTATTCCTTTGCTTTATTCCTCAGTATCAAGCCTGCATTCAAAATACCATCACTTCTAATTTTCCATTTTATTTCTAATGAAGCAGCTAAGTTGCATTGATGAGTTTCCTTCAGAAGATCATTAAGATCAGGGAATTCTAACCTTTAAGTGTTAAGAAAATGATATGGACTCAATGTCTGTGTCCCTCCCACCCCCAAAATTAATTGTTTAAGCTCTGATACCCACTGTATTTAGACGTGCGGCTTTGGGGAGGCAAACAGGTTTAGATGAGGTCATGGAGATTTAAAACTCAACACTCAAAAAACTAAGATCATGGCATCCAGTCCCATCACTTCAGGGCAAATAGATAGGGAAAAAATGGAAACAGTGGCAGATTCTATTTTCTTGGGCTCCCAAATCACTACAGACGGTGACTGAAGCCATGAAATTAAAAGACATTTGCTCTTTGTAAGAAGAGTTATGACAAACCTAAACAGCATTTTAAAAACCAGAGACATCACTTTGCTGACAAAAGTCTGTCTAGTCAAAGCTATGATTTTTCCAGTAGTCACCTATGGATGTGAGAGTTGGACCATAAAGATGGCTGAATAAGTGTTGAAGAACTGATGCTTTCAAATTGTGGTGTTAGAGAAGACTCTTGAGAGTCCCTTGGTCAGCAAGGAGATCAAATCAGTTAATCCTAAAGGAAATCAACCCTGAATATTCATTGGAAGGACTGAAGCTGAAGCTAAAGCTCCAATACCTTGGCCACCTGATTCGAACAGCTGACTCATTGGGAAAGACTCTGATGCCGAGAAAGATTGAGGGCAGGAGGAGAAGGGGACGACAGAGGATGAGATGGTTGGATGGCATCACCAACTTGGTGAACATGAGTTTGAGCAAACTCTGGGAGATGGTGAAGGACAGAGAAGCCTGGCGTGCTGCAGTCCATGGGGCTGCAAACAGTTGGACAGGACTTAGCAACTGAAAAACAACATCCACAACAATGAAGGTGGAGCACCCGTGATCAGACTAGTAGCCTCCTAGGAAGAGGAGGAGACCAGAGCCTCCTCTCTTTTTCTGCCATGTGAGGACACAGCAAGTAGGTGGCCTTCTGCACATCAGGAAGAGAGCCCTCACCAAAACTCAACCCTGCCCTCACCCTCTTCTCAGACTTCCCAGCCTCCAGAACTATGAGAAATAAACTTCTATTGTTTAAGACACACACTCTAAATGGTATTTTGTTAAAGCAGCCCAAACCACTAAGAAAACACTAAAATAGCCTGAAAGTCATGCAAATTAGCCTCAATATAGTGTCCCTTAGCAGACATGGGAAGAAACAGGAGGACAGGAAGGCCAGAAGGGGCTGACCTAAGCCATTGCCTGAGGGGACAGTGGCATCTCCCACACCGGGGGAGCTTCTGTGAGACCATATCACAAATTGTGAGGTAACATAAATAGGGTTAAAGCAGCTGAATGTTTTTAGAGAACTGGAAGAACTTGAGATCCAATAATTTTCAAAACATGAGGTGACCCACTCCCTCATTTCCAAAGCTACACGCCATTTCTTCCTCCTCATTTGTTTTTTATATTCTTGCTTTCTTTCTCACTTGCCTTCATATTTCCATTCCTCCTTTTGGAGGTTTCACTTAAAGATTTACAGACTGTGCCTTGCACTCGCTTAGTGAAGAGGTGTTACAAAACAGTATATAATAAACACAGAAAAGCCTTAGAAGGAAAATGTGTTTTGATATTAGATGGTAAAGTGATTGCTTATATAAAGGCACATTGATTCAGAGTTGAATGAAAGATCTCAGTGGGAAAAGCAGGTTACAATCTATGTATATTATGACCATAGAGAAGTGCAAATATAAATATGTATGCATATACATACACACACACACACACACACATATATATATATCTACACATTGTATTGAATGAGTGAATGCTAAGAAGGAAAATCTGAAAGAATAAACGCCAAAATGTAAATGTTAATCCCCAAGAAAAAAGGAACTCAGATGAATATATGTTACAAGTATATCAAAACACATTTTAACCCACTACAGAGCTTAATGTCAGTCTGGTTTCTCTTGTACGCCTTCCAAGGAAATCTACTCACTGAAATACCAAAGCACCATTCATCTCCTGTGCGTAGTCTTGAGGGCATTAGAATCAGCTTTCAGCGTGTGCAAGTTCATAGGTCTGTATAACGGGGTGATACAAAGGTATTAGGGGAAATCATTAGTCAGAATGAACATTCACAAAATGTGAAAGATCACAATTTAAAATCAGAACAACAACAACAAAAAAAAAAATATATATATATGCCTACATTCATCAAGTACAAGGACCAATAAGACAAAACACAGTACTTCTTCATCCTACTTGTGTGTCAATCAACTAGAAGGTAACAGAGGGCATTTGCACTATCTATCAATCTGCCTGGAGCAAATGCTACTCAAACACAAAAATCTTCTTTGTCAGCACACTGTCAAATGTAGAGAGTAAGGAATTATTAATACAGGGAAAATTAGAGGGTGTTTTATTGATTCATAAAATTTTTCTCAGAAGTGGGCCTAAGGCAAAGCTCGGAAAAGAAGTTCAAGGGGCTATGAAAGTATAAACTGAAGTTAAACTGGAACATCACTCTCTCTGCTGGTCCTGGTCCATTGAGCCTATATTGAAAGAATTCTTCCTTACTGATTTAGGAAGAGTAAACACAAGTGTTGCAGGAGAGATGAGAATAGATAAAAAGAAGGACAGTGTAATATAAGTCTGACTTACAGATGGAGTAGTGTTGATTAGAAAGCAAAGTATTGATATCCTGGTTTTCTTTACCTGTGCTCGCCCTTCAAATAAGGAGAAGGGTATAAATTCATCTGATTTAATAACAAGTGATCTTGAACAAGATCACAGTCAAGTTGCCAATCATTGATTTATCCAACAAATATTTATTGAGGCACTGCTAGGTGCCCAGCGATGTGCTGAGGATGTAATAGACTCTGAGATGCAGTCTTTGCCCTCAAGGAATTTAAGTTCAGGGAAGAACTTGTTAAAAGTAGCATTTCCATAGAAATCACTTTTCTATTTTTTCTTTCGGTTTTATTAAGATGCAATTGACATACTGCACTGTGTAAAGTTTAAGGTATATAGCAGAATGAATTGACTTACGTATATCACAAAATTATTACAATAAGTTTAGTTACCATCCCTCACTTCATATGGTTAAAAAAAGGAAAAAAAAAAAAAAACTCCTGTTCTGCTCGCCATAGGCAAGTAAAGCTGATTGTCGTAAAGTCACAGTTAATGTTAAGATATTACAGATACTCTTCCAGCACTGAAGGCTCTTTCGGACAGGCTACAGCGTACCTGCTTCCGCGGGTGCCTGACTTTCTCTAAACCAGTTATTCGAGTTTCTAGGCGATTCCCTCCCCACTTCAGTTCGGTCCCGGTACGGTGGCCGAAGAGGCTCGTGTGAGGCGGAAGTGCCGGCGTGTGGCCCTGAGGTGCACGTGGCGCGGGTAGGAGCGAGCGTGTCTTTTCCAGGCGGAGGTCGCGGAGGATTTAATCGAGGTGGCGGCTTCGGTCGCGGCGGCAGCAGCAACAACCACTTCCGAGGTGGAGGCGGCGGCAATTTCAGAGGCGGCGGCAGCGGCAGAGGCGGATTGGGACGCGGGGGCGGCCGCGGAGGCTTTAACAAAGGCCAAGATCAAGGACCTCCAGAACAAGTAGTTTTATTAGGAGAGTTCCTGCATCCTTGTGAAGATGACATCGTGTGTAAATGTACCACCGATGAAATAAAGTACCTTATTTCAATGCTCCAGTTTATTTAGAAAACATAGAACAAATTGGAAAAGTGGGTGAAACATTTGGATGGCTTAGAGATTTTTATTTTTCAGTTAAATTATCAGAGAACATGAAAGCATCTTCCTTTAAAACACTACAGAAGTTTTATATAGACCCATATAAGCTGCTGCCGTGGCAGAGGTTTCTACCTCGACCTCCTGGTGGAAACGGGCCTCCAAGAGGCGGTGGCAGGGGAGGTGGTTTTATTTTATTTTATTTTTTCATTTATTTTTATTAATTGGAGGCTAATTACTTTACGATATTGTAGTGGTGGTGGTTTTAGAGGTGGAAGAGTAGGTGGTGGTTTCCGAGGAAGAGGACATTAAGTGTTAACAGTTGACAGAAACTTCAGCAGTTGACTTCTGCATTAACCTCATAATTTACTTCAGTGGATCAGAAACTTGTTTCTTGAGCAAATTTTGAAGAAATGAAAGAACTTTTCACTTAAGAAAAGTGGAGCTAAAATGTCAACGTCATGCAAAAATGAGTGCGGCAGAACAGGCAACTTTGCTTCAAAAGAGTATGAATAAGTGTTTTAACATTTTGTACAATGTTCGGAGCTTTGTGGGTGTCTAATAAAGGGACAGCTTTTATTTGGAGCATATTCGAATTTTGTAAATAAAGTGTTTTATTTCTTTAAAAAATAATACTCCTTGTGATGAGAACTCGGGGATCTATTCTCTTAGCAATGTTCATATATACCACGCAGCAGTGTTAACTATAGTCATGGACTGTACATTGTATCTGTAGTACTTAATTATCTTATAGCTAGAAGTTTATATTTTTTTACCTATTTCAATAACCATTAATGAAACATTTTTAAGTTTCTATAATATGCTAGGTTCTATGTCTAGGAATACAGAGATAAATAATAATATGTGATTTCTGTCCTGCAGGACATAATAATCCAGTACTGATTCAGATATATTAACAATCAAACAAGCAAGCAAACAAGACATAAACCTCCAGATTTCATGACCCTATAGACTCAGTCCTCATTCTTCAACTATAAACATGCTGAAATACTGAATAAAATAAATCAAAGTTTTTTTAAAAAACAAACTCTTAAAGAAAGGAAATTCTCTGATTTCCAACAATTATAGAACTAAGGTGGGATGGGGGTTCAGGATGGGGAACACATGTAAATCCATGGCTGATTCATGTCAATGTATGGCAAAACCCACTACAATATTGTAAAGTAATTAGCCTCCAACTAATAAAAATAAATGAAAAATAAATAAATAAAATTTTTTTAAATTGGAGAAAGCTAAAAAAAAAGAACTAAAGGATCTCTTCAAATATAAACAAAAAGTTTTTAAAAACTAATCACATATTTGCCTTAAATCCATGCCAAAGGAATTAGTAGGATTTTAAAATTTTATTTCATTTTTGATGAATAAATATTTCATTTCAGTGAATAAAATCTGAACTCTACAATCTGTAGAGGGTTATAAATGAGTTCTTTATATGGATAGTTTATATTCATCTAAGCTCTTTTTTATCCCAAATAAATTGCAAACAGCTCTATTTTTCTAATAAAGATACATATCTACATTTTAAATCAAGAAGATGCAGAAAAATGCAAAAATAATTAAAGATAACTTTTTAAATTCCAACTTCCCCTGGTGGCTCAGAGAGTAAAGCATCTCCCTACAATGTGGGAGACCAGAGTTCAATCCCTGGGTTGGGAAGATCCCCTGGAGAAGGAAATGGCAACCCACTCCAGTACTCTTGCCTGAAAAATCCCATGGACGGAGGAGCCTGGTAGGCTACAGTCCACGGGGTCACAAAGAGTAGGACACAACTGAGTGACTTCACTTTCACTTTCACTTTTAAATTCCAGCACTTAGGGATAACTACTTTTAACTTTCTGGTATATAAACATCCATATTTTTATTTGCATTCACTCATTAAAACACAATATGAGCAGATACATTTATTTATACTATTCTTAATTTATAAAAATTTAGTTTCATATAGACCACTGCTTATTAAAATTAGAAACAAAGCATATGCTTTTTGAATTTTAAAACTGCCATATTCACCAGTTTTGGGGAAAATCATAATGCAGAGTTTATAGAATAGATTAAACAGAACAACACAAATAACCAAGCTCATATGATAACTTTATATCAAAATTCATAGGACACAGCTAAAGCTGTACATGGAGGGAAGTACTAGTTTTATATAATGTATATATAAAGGAAAGAACTGATCAGAAGGAAAAAATGGATGTGACAAATACTATTAAAAATAAAAAAGAAAGAATAGCATATAGAGAAGTCATTTTAAATGTAAAGATTTACCAAATATTAAGAAATGCTACTCACTCTATAAAGCAAAACTTTTTGGAGAATAGAAAGGTCAAGCTCTTTAGCTCATTTCATGTAGAATAAAATAATTTTGATAAAAAATAGACAAAGATAATGAAAGAAATATTATAGGCCAACACTTTTCATGAAAAGAGAAGCAAAAAGTCAGACTGAAATATTAGAAAGCCACCACCTCACAGTCATTAGAACAGCTACTATAGAAAATTGCAAGTGTTGGCAAGAATGTGTAGAAACTGGAACCCTTGTGCACTGTTGGTGCGAATGTAAAATGGTGCAGTACATATCTGAAATGATCCAGCAATTCTACTTCCGGGTGTGTGTTGAAAAGAACTAAAAGCAGGATATCAAAGAGATGGTCGTACACCATACTCAGAGCAGCATTATTCACAAAAGCCAAGATGTAGAAAGCAATTTAAGTCTTCATTGATTGAGGAACAGGTAAACAAAATGTACTATACATATATGTGTGTGTGTGTGTGTGTGTGTGTGTGTGTACACATACATACATATCACATCTTCTAATCCAGTGGTCACGCCCAGGCACCAGCCCTAAGCCCAAAAGCTCAGCATGTGTTACATTGCAACCTGCAGCCTTCCACCCAGCGTCCACTTTTCCCCCGTCTCTCCAATGCCTTTCAAGCTCCTTTTCAGACTTTCCAGTTCTCATACCNTGTCAATGCATGTAGATATAAGATTAATACATGTGCAAACTGTAACATGAAGATCCAGGGGAGAGTAAAGGAACCTGTTTAGTTCTAGGAATTCTATGTACACTGTTTGAAGTGATAAAATATTTAAAACTTATATGAGAAAAACTTTAAAATCATCATCAATTATAAATTTAAACATGAACAAAAGGAAAATTTAGATATGTACTATAATCTCAAATAAATCCTTAAGAGATACAAAAGAGATTAGTTAATGTGAAATATTTAAATAATTTAAATAATCCAAAAGAAAGCAGGAAAAGGAAAACCTACAAGCAAGAGGACAAACTGTAAATTTCAGTCACATCAATATCAATATTTTAATTAAGTTTAAATGATCAATGGATTTAACATATCAAATGAAGGACAGAAACTGCCATATTCAGTTTTTAAAGACCCCACTACATGCTGTCTAAAAGATACATATTTTAAATATTAGCACATAGATGGGCTAAAAATTTTAATGGGAAAAGAGTAGTTATATTAATATTAAAGTTAACATCAGAGCATGAATATTACTAGAGATAAAGAAATATATTAAATAATGGCCAAAAAGTTCTGCAACAAGAAAACAGCAAACCTAAATGAGTACTAACATAACAACAGAGATCAAAACACACTGACAAAAAAAAACTTACAGTAAAGGAAGAGAAAATTTTAAAATCTACAATTACTATTGAAGACTTCAATACTTAAAGGAGTTATTTTGATAGAACAGAGGCAGAAAATTAGTAAGGATATAGAAGCCATGAACAAACAACTTGCTCTAATCAACACTTACAGACAATTCATCCTACAATAGCAGAATACACATTCCTTTTGGGTGAACGTGGCATAGTCACTAAGACAGATCATGCTCTGGGTTATAAAATAAACCTTACATTTAAGAGGATAGAAACCACATAAAATATGTTTGCTGTCAATAATTGAATTAAACTTGAAATCAGTTACAGAAAGACAGCTTCCCAAATTTGGAAATCAATAGCACACTTCTAAATAATAATAATTCATGGGGCAGAGTGGAAGCTAAGTGAAATTAGAAAATATTGGGGATTGAATGAAAATGTCAATTGTTTTTGTTCAGTCACTAAGTTGTATGTGACTGTTTGTGATCCCATGGACTGCAGCACCCAGGCTCCTATGTCCTCCACTATCTCCCAGAGTTTGCTCAAATTCATGTCCATTGAGTTGGTGGTGCTAACTATCTCATCCTCTGCCACCCTCTTCTCCTTTTGCCCTCAATCTTTCCCAGCATCAGCTTCTTTTCCAATGAGTTGACTCTTAGCATCAGGTAGCCAAAGTATCAGAGCTTCAGCATCAGTTCTTCCAATGAATAGTCAGGGTTAATTTCCTTTAGGATCAACTGGTTTGATCTCCTTGCAGTCCAAGGGACTCTCAAGAGTTTTCTCCAGTACCACAAGTTGAAAGCATCAATTCTACAGTGCTCAGCCTTGTTTATGGTCCAACTCCCACATCCATACACGACTACTGGAAAAACCTGTAACTTTGACTATATGAACCTTTGTCAGCAAAGCAATGTCTCTGCTTTTTAATACATTGTCTGGTGTATTACAAGTGTATGATAAGCCTTTCTTCCAAGGAGCAAGCATCTTTTCATTTCATGGCTGCAGTCACCATCTGCAATGATTTTGGAGCCCAACAATACAAACTCTGCCACTGCTTCCAATTTTTGCCCATCTATTTGCCATGAAATAATGGGACTGGATGCCATGATCTTAGTTTTTTGAATGTTTAGTTTTAAACCAGCTTTTTCACTCTCCTCTTTCACCCTCATGAAGAAGCTCTTTCGTTCCTCTTCACTTTCTGCCATTAGAGTGATACCATCTGCATATCTGGGGTTGTTGACAGTTCTCCCTGCAATCTTGATTCCAGCTTATGATTCATCCAGCCTGGCATTTCCCATGATGTACTTTGCATATTAGGTAAATAAGCAGGGAGATAATATGCAGCCTTGTTATACTCCTTTCCCAACTTTGAACCATTCAGTTGTTTCTTGTCCGGTTCTAACTGTTGCTTCCTGACCTGCATACAGATTTCTCAGGAGACAATTAGGTGGTCTGATATTCCCATCTCTTTAAGAATTTTCCACAGTTTGTTGTGACCCACACAGTCAAAGGCTTTAACGTAATCAATGAAAAGAGAAGCAAATATTTTTCTGGAATTTCCTTGCTTTCTCTAAGATACAAAGGATGTTGACAGTTTGATCTCTGGTTCCTCTACCTTTTCTAAACTACCTTGTACATCAGGAAGTTCTCAGTTCACATACTGCTGAATCCTAGATTGAAAGATTTTGAACATAACCTTGCTAGCTTCCCAGGTGGTGCTAGTGGTAAAGAACCCACCTGCCAGTGTAGGAGATGTAAAAGATGAGGGTTCAGTCCCTGGGTGTGGAAGACCTCCTAGAGAAGGAAATGGCAACCCACTCCAGTATTCTTGCCTGGAGAACCCTATTCAAGAATAGCCTGGTAGAGCAGCCTGGCAGGCTATAGTCCAAAGGGTTGCAAAGAGTCAGATATGACTGAGGCAACTGAGCACTTCTAAGCACTTGCTAGCAAGTGAAATGAGAGCAATTTTATGGTAGTT